TATATATATATATATATATATATATGTATATGTACTGTGGTGTGACATGCTAAAATTGAAATAATTAATAATAAATAAAAATTAATTAATTAAGTGATAATAGTAATAATAATAATTAAATATTCAATTTATAATGAATATGCAGACAACTTTATTGAGTTCTTATTATTTGAGAGACTGCATGGAATACTAGTACATTTATAAAATCATTTTTCATACCTTATGTGACATGCTAAATTTGCAAAAACTGCATTTTTTATTTATTTGCATTCAGCATATTAATTATAAAAGAAATAATTTATTAATAATAATGAACAATAAATACAAATTAATCATGTGGTAGTAGTAGTAGTAGTAGTATTAATAATAATAAATAACAATAGTAATTAAATATTGTATATTAAATAACTGCTATAATGAGCTCATATTATTTGAGAGACTGAGAGGAATATTCGTACATTTATGAAAATCATTTTTCACACTTTCACGATCATTTAAAATGAGTACAATAATACAACTAGTGAAAAAAAAGGAAACCAGTTATGACACCTTAAATATACACTTCCACTCTAAATTTGAACAATATATTGATATTTTTTCAACAAAAAAAAAAAATTAATAATGATGCATTATAATGCACTTCATGAATAATTAGGAATACTTATAAAATGAACCCATTAGCAGTTTAATGCAATTGTAATGTGACGTTGGACAGGACTTGGGTGTTAATGGTGTTTTACGGCATTATTGTGAAAGTTATATAAACTAAAAGTATAATTAACGGCCCTGGAGATGTCATGGAAATTTCATCGGCCAGTATATATATATTTTTTTTTTAAGTATTCTCTCTCTTTCTATTGCTTTTTAAACTTTTTTGTTACTTTTAGGGATTTTAGTACTTCAACTTATTTAGCAGTCTTTCATTTAGGCAAATTTCTAGTTTTTATGTCTGTTATTTTTGTTTGTTTTTCATCTAATATTTTTATATATTTCAGCTTTATTTAAATTAACAAAAACGATTATTATTTTGTTGTTGTTTTAGTTTTAGTTAACTCTAACAGCACTGGTGGGAACCTGTAAGTGTTGTGTTCGAGCTCTGTTTACTCGTGTTCATGAAGCACAGCAGATGATGAAGTGTATTGTAAGGCTTCTCTTCTTTAACTGTGCTGATGAACAGGACAGACTGTTGCTTCAGTCCGGATGATAAACTGCTGCTGACGGGAACCTCGGTCAAGAAGGACGAAGGCAACGGGAAGCTGCTGTTCTTTGAGCGGGAATCTCTGTAGAAGGTCTATGAGATTGAAGTGGCTGATGCGGCACGTTTGACACACACTTCTGTGTTGCTCTCATGGTGAGGAGGATTGTGTGGTTTACACTTGCTGTGTGTTCACTAATAATTAGGGCTGGGTTTTGACACAAATTTCACGATTCGATTCGATTCTCATTCACAAGCTTGCGATTCGATTCGATTACCGATTCGATTCAATATCGATTATTTTGGATATACAGTGGGCAAATGGCTGCAATATAACAAAGAGTGAAAAATTTAAGGGGGTCTGAATACTTTCCGTACCCACTGTATATCAGGTACAGTACATGCCAGATTTTCTCAAGGGAAAAAAATCTCTCAACTAATGCTGTATAATATACATGAGAGTCAGTTGGTACTACATTGCTATAATATTGAATGTTAAAATTTATGCTTATTGCGATATATTGGATGGGAAGTGCCCTTCAATGTTCCGTCCATTAACTGAAACAGGCTAGAATAATCGATTCTTGGGATTTAAGAATCGGTATTGTTCCGTAAAAATGAGAATCAATTAATCTCGAGATATCGATATTTTTTACCCAGCCCTACTAATAATGTTTCCAGATCACAAAATGCTGATTTACATTTCACTGACAGGGAAACTCCGCAGCAAATTGGGAAGAAATGTAAAGGATTTTCTGGGTTTTTTTTTCAGTCATATGATTGGCTCCTGTGAGGCCCGTCAGTCAAACCCGACTGAAACTCCAGGGTTGTCCGTGCTTATTTAATTTAATATATATTTTATATATACATTAATCTGACTTATAGGTATTGAATAAATTAGGTAAATAATAAATCTGCATCTATTGTCCTTGAAAAGAGAAGCTCGCACATACTGCCTAATGTCTCATTTAGAGCTGCACAGAAGAAAACAATATACTGGCATAATTGCGAATGAATTTTCATTATATTTTTGTTATTTCATTTATTTTCATTATTATAATTATTTATTTTGTACATTTATTTAATAAATATTTTATATATAAATTAATCTGACATATAGGCATTTCATTATTGCAAAGTAATATATTATAATTATTTTAATAGTTAACTTTATATATTTATTTAACATGCTTTGTATATATTTATTATTATTATTATTATTACTATTAATCTGCAATAATTGTTTATTTGATTATGTTGGATTTTCACATTAATCTGGCATATAGGTATTTAATTATTGCAAATTATTATATTACAATGCTTTTAATTGTTTTTTATACATTCATTTAATATATAAATATGTAAATTATTATTATTATTACTACTACTTCTAATGGTATTTCATTATTGAGAATGAATGTAATTAGTACTTTAACTAATATATATATATATTATAATAATATATAATAACTATATATATAATGTTGTACATGTACTGGCAGCTCCAGTTATGTATATTTTACAGTATCCAGAAACTGAGACGTCACAATAATATGATTATCTCTAGTAATGGAAACTCTGTCCAGGAAGACTGCAGTCTTAAATTACTTGGTAAATGCTGTTCTGTCAGATTAATAGTGCAACTGCAGACAGGAAGCAACAGTTTCCACCGGTTCGTCCCTTTGGAAGCAAAGGGAGCGATGTCGTCTTCCGTCCATTTGCTGGATGACACACGCGTGACCTCGACAAGCGTCCCGGCGCTCTTGAGAGCTGGATTCATCTGAAGTGAGTGAAGTGTCTCTGGGAGCTCTTGCTGAGGTCAGTGGACGGTACGAAGGGCACATCTGAGTGACGGCTCAAAGCTCCCATGGCCGTCTGTGATCAAATGTGATGTTGAGTGTGTTTCTCTAAGTCCCAGCACTCCGGCTCTAGTCATAACAGCGTAAAGGCTAATGCTGTCCATCCCAGGTTGCTTCATGTCTTAAACCTGACAGGATGGCATAAAGCAGATGTTGACATCCAGCACACAGAACACATGCGGCACAGAAACCATGGAGCAGTGGCATTAATCTGAAGAACATCATATTTTTGTGAGATGCATCACAGACATTTTCCATTTTCTTCTGTCTACTTGAAAAAACAAGTTTTGTATATATATATAATTTATCATTATTATTATTATTATTATTATTAATCTGCATTAACTAATTGTTTATTTGATTGTTTGTTTTGGATTCTCATCTGTCACGAGCTTGCTAGTAGAAAAATATTAGATTTAATATAATAAAAAAATGTATGTATATATATATATATATATATACAGTGTATACATATATATATATATGTGTGTGTGTGTTTGTGTGTGTGTGTGTGTAATTATATATTATATATTATTTAAGATATAATTTATTATTATTGTTATTATTACAATTATCTGCAATAATGTATTTGATTTTGTTGGATTTTGCAAATTTGTTGGTACAAAAGTAATATTTTATCCTAAAATGAAAAGCATGTCATATCACCTTTTTTAATTTTTAATTATTTATCATCTAGACAATCATATTATGTTTCTTCGGTGAAGCATTAAATAAGACATTAGGCAGTATGTGCTAGCTTCTCTTTTCCATACAAGGATGATAAATGCTGATTTATTCTGCCAAAAAAGCCCCATCATTTGTGTCCGGCATCAGTAGAATCATATTAGCAGCAGTGGACGGCTCTTGTTTGCTGAAAATACCTTTGGCCCATCCAGAAGACTAAGTTATTTATAGCTGAACTGACGAGGAGCTATTTACAGTGTTTATCCAGCGCAAGACGGCTGAAGAATTTAAGTGCTGTCTTTATGAAGTGCTGCACTAGGCCGTCCTGTGACAGGAAGAGCTACCAATCATGCAAGTGTAAACATGGGCCGTAACCCCGTGGCGGGGTCGCACTCTGTGCTGAGACGTGGGCACATCTCCAGGCTGGAAAGAGTAAATACTCCAGGGGTGGTTCTCGGCTTTGCTGACTTTTTCACAAGGTGCAAAAACCAGGTGAGACATGTGCGTCCTCCATGACGTCTGCTGCTCCCTCTGCACTGGACATTTGGAATGCGGCTTGATGTCCGAAAACTAAAACAGATCCAGTGCTGCTTGAATTGAAGTGATAAAGTATTTATTAAACTGTCTTTGTAGGTATCTTGGAGTGGTTTGCCTCCTCTCTAAAGCATAGGACATTTGCTGTGAATATAGGAAATATTTTGCCCCCTGTAGTATGTGGTGTTCCCCAGGGTTCGATTCTGGGACCACTGTTGTTTTCCCTATACATCCTTCCATTAAATTATATCTTCTGGATGTACAGTATCTCTTACCACTGTTACACTGACGATTTTCAGTTTATTTTCCAGTGACATTTTGAATGCGGCTTAATGTCCAAAAACTAAAACATCTAGTGCTGCTCAGATTGAAGTGACATAGTGTTTATTTAAGTTTCTTTGTAGGTTTCTCTGAGTGGTTTGCCTCCTTTCTAAGGATAGGACATGTGCTGTGAATATAGGAAATCTTTCCTTCAAACGGCCTCTGTAGTATGTGGTGTTCCCCATGGGTCGATTCTGGAACCACTTTTGTTTTCCCTATATATGCTTCCTTTCTTTGTACAATATCTTATGGAAGTACAGTATCTCTTACCACTGTTATATTTTATGAGTATATATATATATATATATATATATATATATATATATACAAGTAAAAATAAAGTCTTTCATATTATTATTATTATTATTATTACTTATTTATTTATTTGTTTATTTTACTGTGTAACTTGAAAGCATCCTTGTGTCTTCTGGGTGAATGGGCGCCATGTTGGGCACGATTGCAAGTAATGGAGAGGTCAGATATACAGATGTGCTCGATCTAAACCCCATGATACAGTATCTGCAAGGTAATGGAGTGACTAAATGAGATTACGTTTGTATTCGGCCAAAAAAGGCTCAGCTGGGAGCACATTTCAGATCCGCAGCCAAATCTTCCAGATCTTTTCTAAATAATCAATTACTCGGCCACATGCCCATGGAGACGGATTACCCCCATACATCCCGTTAAGTCAATAAAGGCCGGAGAAACCCCCGCTACGGTCCGGGCGAGGGAGGGTCTAAAGCCGGATTCTAAGTCATGGAGGCTTAACGCAGTCCGGCTGGTGGATTCAGGCAGAAACGAGCCCGGCGCTGAACAGCTGGAGGCGAAGCAGATTTCACCCAAATGCCTCCACAGGTCTTTCCTGATCTGAACACTGCATACATCACAAGATCTGTTTAGAAAGAGTTTCTTGAACATAGTATGATTTATTATGCTCCTCTTGTGCTGTTAACTCATCTCAGGAGATCACTTTTAAAGTGAATTTGGACCCCAGTACCTGCTGGATATTCTTATGGATTTCCTGTACAGCTTCATTATTTACACACCCTCATTTTCATCCTGACCTAATTATTTAATTTAATTTAATTTTGTTTAAATTTTTTAATGGTTATTATATTCAATGCAGCATGTTTGCATGACAGTGATATTTATTTTATTTTATTTTTATTTATTTTTGTGGTATTTTCATGCATTTCAATGTAGCATGTTTGCATGACAATGATGTTTTTTTTATTTTATGTTGTATTTTCATGTTTTTAAATGCACCATGTTTGCATGACAGTGGTGACATATTTTCCCCTCATTTTGATCCAAAACTTTATTTTATTTTTTATTTCATTTATTTGTTTATTTTTTTATGACTGAATTTTCCCCTCATTTTGATCCAAACCTATATTTATTTTATTTTTTATTTCATTTATTTTATTTTGTGGTATTTTCTTACATTTTCTCTTTTCATTACAGCATGTTTGCATGACAGTGATTACTTCTTTTCCTTTAAAGCTTCATTATTCACTTACATCATTATTCAATGATCCAAACCTATATTTAGTTTTTTTCATTTTATTTTATTTTATATTATTTTATAATAAAATATGTAACTTGTTTGTGATAAATATTATTAATATTTCATTATTGCAAATAAATATATTATCACTTTTATTTTAATTATTGATTTTATTTTTGATATTTATTATATTATGTATTTATATTTATTTCTATGTTTATATTTTATATTATGTCTTACATAGAACTTATGGTAATAATAATAATAATATTTTTTCATTATGCAAATATAATATTTTAAATTTTTACTACTACTACTGTTTTAAATTATGTTATAATATATTCATCTTCTTTATTTATTTGCTCGTTTGGGTTAGACTTTCACCACTCACAAGTTTGTAAGAATGTAATGGGCTTTTCTGGTGTTTTTATGTCTTTAATGGTGCTGTTTTTTCCTTTTTGCACACGGTCGCTATGAACTGTCTTCGTATAGACATGCGCTGCATGCAGACGTTCCTCTGCATGTGTTTGCAGGCATTCATGAGTCTGTTCCTCCGTCTCTTCTCTCACACAAACACACTGTCACACATGCACACAAATCCTCACACACAGCCTTGGCAGCGGCCCATTCGTTACAGCGAGTCTTTGAGATCCAGGACTGCCAAATATAGTCAACTGGAGATGAGCTGGATGGCGAGAGATATCAGACGTCATCCGAGCGCAGACCAACTATGCCATCGGTTTATGTTCACTTCCTGTTAAAATAATGAGTCCTCACTCTCTGTTTCCTCTCATCTGCTGTTGTTTCAGAGCGTCGTCCGCTGTCTTTGGCATCCCAAGCTGAATCAGATCATGGCTGGGACGGGGACCGGCCTGGCGAAGGTCTACTACGCCCAGGTCAAGAGTCAGAGGTGCAGTTGCTTTGCCGTCCGTCTCAATCACGCTTCACACTCTTCCCTGTTTTTCCGCCCATGTTTGTTCAGTAATGATCCAGCCGGATTTAAACTGATTGAACCGACTGACTGAAGCGAGTAAACTCAACGAAATGACTCGTTCATGACTCCATTAGTGTTGACTGAGAGCAGAATCAATGGTCTGCACATTTACTACAAAGTCACGTCCTGTTGTCAAGCGCGCAATCAAGTGTTCTACAGCTGGTCATAACTAGAATATGTATTTATATTTATAACTTTTAAAGATGTTTATTAATTTCCATGAGTTTTCCAGGTTTGGAAATCACTTTTAAACTTCCCTCATTTATCCAGGTTGTCCCTGAGAATTCTATAAAATAAACATAATTCTATAAAATAAATATAATTCTAGCACTATATTATTATTTTAATTGTTTTGAGGCGTTTTCATGCATTTCTTTTAAAACTAGGAGTGATAATATGTTAAAATAATAACATAATAATAATTTAATTAATTAATTCAGCTTTCCATTAGTTCATGATTGTTTTTTGTAATTATTTTTTTCTTGCAAATAGCAGTTTCTACCTGATAAATATTTTAGAACTTGTCATAACTAAAATGTTTATATTTATTATACAAATTTCCATGACGTTTTAAGATGTTTAATTCTTTCCATGACTTTTCCTGGTCTGGAATCACACTTATAAATATAAATACATGGAAAAATTGAATTAAATTGAATTAAATTGAATTAAATTAAATTAAATTAAATATTTTTTCATGCATTTCTTTTCAGTACAGCATGTTTGCATGACAGTGATCATGTTTTTTTTTTATTTAACAAAAACTAGGAGTGCTAATATAATTAACCAGTAATTTATAAGTAAGTAATTTATAGTAATTTATAAGTAATTTATATAATAATATTTCAATTCTACAGTTCAGCTTTCCAGTTCATGATCATGAGTTATTGTTCATGATTGTTATTATTATTATTAAGATTGTCATGATGTTTTAAGATGTTTATAAATTTCTAGAAATCACTTTTAAACATCCCTCATGTATTCAGGGTTTCCAAGACTGAGAATTCAGGTACTTAAATAAAAAAACACAGTTGTTGAGGGAATTAATTAAAATAAGAAATATTACGGCATTTCATATCTTGATTTGTAGTTGTTTAAGCTTATTTGAAAGCATGTTTTGTCGTATTTTCAATGCTTATGTCCTGTTTTGTGTGTTGTTTGTTCTTCAGAGGTGTGATGTTGTGTGTGTTCCAGAGCAAGAGGAAGGAGAAACACGCCGAGACGCTGACACAAGATTACATCATCACCCGTGAGTGTGACCCGCTCCTGGAGAGGACATTATATGAAAATCTGCTCAAATACATTTGCATTTATCATCAAATATGCCAACACTCACAAAAGTGACAGTAAAGACACTTATAATGTCACAAAAGATTTCTGCTTCAAATAAATGTTGTTCTTTTGAACTTTCTAATCATCTGTGAATCCTGAAAAATAAAATGCATCACAGTTTCCACAAAAATATGAAGCAGCATGACTGTTTTCAACATTGATAATAATCAGAAATATTTCTCGAGCAGCAAATCAGCATATTAGAATGATTTGTACTTTTTTTTTTTTTTTGTCAAATAAATGCAGCCTTGATGAGCAGAATGTTTTTCAACAATAGTCAACAAAAGTAAATGAGTGTCACTGATCATGTACAAATGGTCAGATTTAATTATTGCAAAGTAATATATTATAATATTAATTATAGTGAGTGCTTTCCATCGGATTGCCCCACGCTGCGTCTCACCCAAGGGCCACGATGCCATTAGCGCACGACACTTAGCAGCTAAGTGTGAGCCACGAGAGCGTCAGTCACGGCATGAGCCTCCACTCGCGTGATCATCCGCCGAACCTAAACACCCTTCAAAACCCCACCGCACAGGTCAGGAAATAGCGATGGAAAATTGAGGTGATGTGAAACAGGATGATGGACCACTGAGGGAAAAAAAGAAACAGACATGTGTCACCGCTAACCTTTTTGCTTAATGTAGCGTGAGAGGAATTAGCTCGGCTCCTGAATGGAAAATCGCTCGCTCTTTCCCCGTGACCCGGGAGTCAAACACACACACAAGAGCATCACAAACGCACTGTATTGTGGTTGTGTTGGGCGACTGTGAAATGTGGGCACTTTAATCAAAAGTAAATACAAAGACGTTGCTGTGCTGCGTGTGAAGAGCGTAGTACTCTGAGTTTGTGTGCTTTATGTCATGTGATTCTCGTGTTTCTCACATCTCACGCTGTGCCCATGTTTCGTGAGGCCCGGCAGCGCAGCACTAGGAAGCAGCTGGAGAAGGACCGACTGGACCCAGTGAAATCCCACAAACGCGAGCCGCCCGTGTCCGGACCAGGTGACGTAAACCTCACACGCTTCTAAAGCATTATAGGCACAAATCCCTCGTTCTTTAGAGTGAGAACAACTACACTGTTAGATATACGTGTGTTTTGAAAATCAAAAAATAGTTTTCATTATTATGGCCCATATTTTGCGTGCAAAATGGTCCTGCAGGATGTTCCCACTAATAAAAAAATGTAGCATCCTTTAAAATTGTGACATCTAGGAAGTGACATTGTTTGAATCCTGCAGGAATGAAAGGCTCAACAAAAAAAAAACGTTGTTATATTTTTCTTTAATGTAAGTTTATCAATAACTACAAACCAACATTAGTCTAGTTAGTCTGGTGAATTATGGTGTGTAAAAAAAAATTTATGTAAATATATATGTAACGTCTCGGTTACGTATGTAACCCTCATTCCCTGAAGGAGGGAACTGAGACGCCACGTCAGATGACCGATGAATTGGGATCTCGCTTAGAGAGACCAATCCACTTCGAGTGTAAACTAAACGAGCCAATGCACATTGGCATGCAATTACTGCATCCAGCTGCCGCTGATCACAGCTTGAGTACAAGTAGGCAGCCGGGCATGCAATTACTGCATCCAGCTGCCGCTGATCACAGCGTGAGTACAAGTAGGCAGCCGGTGCAGCGCATACTCAGGTTTTCGCTGAGGAGCCAAGCTGGTGACCCGGCCACTCAGCGGTGGTACAGAAGCTGTGGCGACGGGACGTGACGTCTCCGTTCCCTCCTTCAGGAACCAAGGGTTTCATACATAACCGAGACGTTCCCTTTCAGTCGGTCACTCTCGACGTCACGTCGGATGACCGACGAATTGGGATCCCTACCAAAGGGCTATACAGATACTGCCCCTTCCAGTGACCTGTGGACGCCACCTGCGCCCCTTCTTTTTGGCGTAGGCCGAGGCTTACCACAAGAAGACCAGTTACTGCTGCTATGGCACTGCCCACTCAGTAAGACTGGATAACACTGGGAAAACGTACCCCTAACACTTGGGACAGGAACGTTGCGGAAACCCCATCCTTCCCGAAGGAGGTTTCTGAAGCACTTACACATATGAACAGCCGTCTAGGAGCGTATGGAAGATTAGAGGTGATAGTAACCCTCTTGGAAAATAGCAGGAAGTCTGACGGGGAAACACGGGCTCTTAGGCTATACCGTGGACTTTACACATATGGGATCCACTTAGGTCTCTACATATGGAACCCAGCCCTCTACCGGTTCTCACGGATTCAT